TCTCAACTATCATTATTCTCGGAACTTATGAATGTATGTAGATAAAGTTTGAACATTGGTAGTCATTTAACTGGAATCTTCGAAAACGTTGATTGATTTTTAATGACAAAATCATCCTTAAATATTTCGTCCTCGTTACGAAATTTGTATTTTATTAACTATCCACAATTGTATATAGAAATTATCGAGAAAGTGATATATGTGTGTGTGTGTGTGTGTGTTGTAATAATGCTATTAAATAATCATTTATTTAATGTTACTCTTATATCTATATAATTTACTTTTTTTAATATTTAACCAGTGATAGATAGTATAAGTGAAATAGAAAGTTGAAGAAAAAAAAATATCTGTTATATAATATCTGTTATTATATATTTATTATAAATCATGATCATATTAGACGTTTCATAGCTTACTCTAACATAAAAGTATTATACGCGTGTGCACTGATCTTTGGAATGTACTTGTTAGACCTGGTCAAACCGGTTGTTCGTTGGACGGTACAAGTTGAGAACCTCTGCGGGTCAATCGTGTCAATTGTGACGAATGTATGTCGAGTCTGTGGATGGTTCTTCTCTGGTAGACTCCTTCTGTACCTTATTCAAATCCTTTCTTTCATGTCTCTCTCGAATATAATCGAAAATATTTTCTATAGATATGTGTGTATGTGTGTGTGTGATTAATAGTAAATTCATTATTTCAAAAAAAAAAAGAATAGAATTATTTAGGAATAATAATTAATGATGATTTTTTTATTTAACTAAACAAATAAATATGTAAAAAAGAAAACGTATAGAAATAATTATTATTAAGTTCAATCTTAGGGATACTTTTTTTTTAAACCTGTCCAAAAAAAAATATCCCTAAGATTGAACTTAATAATAATATTAGAAAAAATTTTGGATAAGAAAATTGATTATATTAACGTATAGAAATAATATTAAATAAAGAATAAAAACTGTTTATTACATAAAATTCATTTCCATAAGATATATTATATGTATAATCTCGTTACTAAATTGAAAAATCGTATGTTGTTATTATCATACGTTGTTACGATAAAAACCGATAAAGAAATAATGATACAACGAGTTTTCCAGACCTATCGTTAACGGAGATGCACTCATAGAAGAACCAGAGAATGTGCATCTGCCGTCCTACTTACGCCATGAAATAACCGGTCGCAATAATCAAGTTTACGAGACATAACTCGTAATCCGTATGTATTGTCATCAGTAAGCCAATATCATCAGTTAAACCAAAAATTCTTAGGATAATCCGATGCTAATATATGTACAATACACATAATATATATATAACCTCGCGTTAAAACAAACATTTTTAACGTACATTAGATAAACGTTAATAAAATCAACAAAATTCGCACAATCGAAATAATTTCTAAATATCCCGATACAAAACTTATTACCTGGATTATCTCCTCTAGTTTACAAACAAAAAAAATTGAATTTCGTTTAGATACCTGATTAAAAAAAAAAAAGCCCCCGCACAATCCACCCACCCACCCACCCACCATACTGATCTAACTCGTTTCTCTTTTGAACGAATGGAATCTCGCAAGAGAAAGAAAGAGAGAGAGAACGTATATAAGTATAGTTTCGGAGATAAATTTTCAAACCGGTTTTTTACGTTCTACCAAAGCACGGGCCACAAACTTGGACAACGACGACGACGACGACGACGATGACGACGATGCGAGGTGGAACAAAATTTTGGTTTAAAAATTATACGACAAAATATAATAAACGAAATATGTACATTCATATTAAGTAATATTTGTAAATGAAACGAACGAAATATTCTACCTTAAATTACCCATTCTCCCCATTCTTTCTATCTTGATCATTCTCAATCTTCGACGAATGAAGATATGTTTTTTTTGTGTTGTTGTTGTTGTTGTTGTTCGAAGGAGAACCACGAGATAGGATATACCGATGTCTCGGTCAGATATATTCCCATTCGATTCAACAAATTTCTCAGTCTTCTCACGAACTTTAACAGAAAGTTTATTGGAAAGAAACAAGTATAAATAGAATACCTTTGATATTTCACCAAGTAACAAATTATTATTATTATTACACATTATTTCATTTTATTTTCATTATATAAACATTACGAAGAATAATTTTTATCGAGTAATGATGATATGCAAAAACAAAAAGATAGAAAAGAGAAGAAAAATCGTTGAAAAAAAAAGAATATTTAAACGAGATAAATGTGTTCTCCTGTTCCTTCGAGTATAGCCCGGTATGTACAAGCATGAAGACATTAGTATGCATAGTGAGTCCATATACGAGTTGTTGGAATCACAAAGGAAGCTGGAGTGGAACAAAGAAAGAAAGGAGAACCGATCAAAGACAGAAGGATCGTTCGGAAAGGCGCCTTACACGAAACATTCGAACAAATCGTGAATAATAATTTCTAACAAAGTTCGTCGACTTGTATTTCTATTTTTTTTTTTTTTTCTATTTATCGAACTCGTACGTTTTTTTCTTTCCCCCCCCCCTCCCATTCTTATATTCCGTTGTTGTCCATTTTTTCTTTTTTAACAATTGTTCATTTCTTTTTCTTCTTCTTCTTCATCGATGCGATATTAACTTATATATTATTTAGATTATATTTCAATAGAATTCAGAAAAAGAAAATGGCATTTTCTACCTGAGAGGAAATGGGGAATCAAATAAATGGAATTTTTGGGATAAATGCATACTGGTCAGAAATGAGTGAACAATGTTAAGTCGTCTACAAAGAGGACAAATCTCTAAGGTGGTAGTAATTCAGCACGTGATAGAGAAAAACTAACTGAAACGAAAATCTATCCAACTGCCATTGGAGACTTTGCTTTTCTCTATAATAGCAGCATCTTTCTCTCGTAGCGAGATAGTCCCAGCTTCCACAGACTCCGACTAAAGCCGGTCTTTGTTCGAGGGACCACCGAGATACGGCCCACGCGAGCCTTTCGTATGAATAATACCTGAACTCGTGAGACCCAACTGTGCCGCGAGTCAAGGGACTATGAGTTACAGTTATATATGTTACCGTCTTAGCCGGAAATCCGCCATTGCTAGTATGCACTTTATTTTAATATAAAAATTATTAAAATTCGTTTGCTCTAAGTATACAAAATATTTGTTGAAACATATTACAGAAATGGTAAAGTAGGAAAAATTTACAGCATTGCATTCTCTGACATTTTATGAACCTTTGCAAATTGATTTATAACTTGAAAAGGTACTGTAAGTGTAGCCAAAAGTGTGCACTTTAATTTAATATAAAAATCATTTAAATCTATGTGCTAAAAGTATACAAAATATTTGGCAAAACTTTTCAAAGAAATTGTACAAATGCACAATTTACAGCATTGCATTCTCTGACATTTTCTTAACCTTTGCAAATCGATTTATAACTCGAAAATGTATTCTACGCGTAGACAAAAGAGTGTACTTTAATTTAATATAAGTTTCATTAAAATCTATTGACTTTTAGTATAAAAAATATTTATCAAAACTTCATAACATATGTAACATATATACTCCTACTTACATATATTCGTATATATACTACTTTAAATATATATTTACTTATTGTATATTATATATAACGCAACTCAATAAAATTAACATAATAAACTTTATGAAATATTCTTATAATAATATGCAACATAAGAAATAATCTTATAATAATACAATTCAAAGAGTGAACTCTTTAATGTATAATAAATTTGAAGAAATATTCTCAAGGGATAATATATTTTAACAATTTTTTTCCCCTATAATTCTAATTAGTTCTCTCGATAAATCATTATTTTAATTAACCGTTCCCATTCTCACCAAGATACTTCGTTAGTTATCATAGATAATAAATCGTTACCGATTTGCCGCTTGATTTATTATACCATTTTATTCGTTCTGTCAATCAGTCGAATGTTATCCTCCCCATATACTCCATTACTAATGACATTTAACAAATGAAAAAATTGATATATATATATATATATTTCCAAATTAAATTCCATACTTTCTATATATAGATATTAGATAAAATTATAAAAGCATTACCGACCCTTAGTTATCTCCCAACTTCGTGACTCATAGAAAATGAATTCGTTTTTTCTAGAAGATCTTCAAAGAATGACTTTACTGTATTAAAACTGCATTATATTTTGTGCATCCTTCTTGAATAAAATTCGATCTATTATTATTGTTCTACTTCTAATTGTTTTTTTTTTGTTCTTATCTTTTTATTTTTAATTCTTGATTAAAGTTTCGATCGTTAACGATTACATAAAGACACATGTAACCCATTATAAAATAGAAAAAAAAAAAGAAGAAACCATAAGATTACTTTTAGAATTAATATAGGTCACTGTGCAATACGCGTTTATAAACGATCTTAACGATATAACGATTTAACGATCTTAACTATGCGACAGACTCGTTTAAGAAGTCAACGCAAATGTATACTTTACCTGCCATGCATAACTCGTACGTACCGTACGTTCCCGTATTGTAAATGTTGTTTCGAGTTAACGCACGTTGAACGTAAAAAAAAAATAAAGAAAAAAAAATGTCCAACTTGAGGAGCATCGACACGCAAATAACTATTTACTCTTTATCTCTTCTTGTCACTCTCTGTCACGCGAATAAAACATTTTAATCCGTACACGTACGTGCGTACGCTTGCTTGAAGGAAGACAAAATAAAAAATAAAAAAAGTAAATTACGCGTTACGGGTTATTACTTACAAATGTTTGACAAGTGTTCTTTATTTTTGTTAATCTATTTGAACACATTTTAAAACCGAGTGATGAGATTATATATATATATATATATATATATATATATATATATATATGTTAGGATGAATCAAAAGTTTATGCGTTTTTAAATGAATATTTTGCTTGCATGTGCAAAGTTATTTTATTGAATTCAATATATTACGAACTTTTTGTTTTATATTATATACAAAGTAATAAGTTTCTTATCTTTTTTTTTTTCTTTTTAATTAATACACTTTTTAAAAAAAGACAAAAGTATTGTTATATGGGGAACGTATAAGACAGGGCTATAAATATACAAAGAAAGAAAAACAAATACTGCATGGTGAGAGAGAAAAATATTGCAGATAAGACGATTTAAAAATGTAATATATATTTATAAGACCGTATGAATGGTGCTTAAGGCAGATAGAATAAGAACGTAGGAGATCATGATCACGAAGTCACCGAGCGTATGCAACAAAAATAAGCTCGTTAATCTACTATACTTCTATATACTCTCGTTTAAATAAATTGTACTTAAGAGCGTCTAAAGAAATGAAAGAGAGGATTTCGTTTAACGATAATATAAGCACGATTAGAAATTCTTGTTTCCAAGGACAATTGTTTTCTAATCATCGGAGAAGCTTTTTTCTTTTTTTTTTTATGAATCCGTAATACGCGTACATGTGAAAGAAGATGATGTAAAAAAAGAAAAAGAAAAAGAAAGAAAGAAAAAAAGCTATTGAAAGCTGACTGGTTCTTATTAAAAAAAAAAAAGAAAAAAAATCGGTCCACCGATTCCTTTCGTTGGAAGTTTGACAATGGAGGTGATAAATAGAAAAAGGGCTCATTTCGAGAACCGAAAGAGGGAACTCGTAAGGATCGTGAATGACTGTTAGAAAAGGGTTCGAACCCTTTTTTTCTTTCCTTCCCATTCGATTCGCATTCTTAAGTTCCATTTTTGCGCAGCGTCAACCCCCGTACTCAACAAAGGGCAACCCATTGTATTAAGAACACCACTTTCAGAATTGACGCTAAATGAACACATTTTTTCATCGTAACACGCACGTCTACCATTCCCGTTTGGTAATATCTTTCTCTCCTTTTTTTATTTCTTAGTTCTTTTCTTTTCTTATCTCTTCACAAAATACGAACGCATATTTGAAATATTTTTCGAAAAAAAATAAAAAAAGCGATAAACGAAATAAATTGTATTTGACGATTTTCCTCGAAAAATAATCCTCTCTCTTGACGGTGAAAATATTTAAATATTTCCGTTACTAATACATAAGATAATAATACGTCACTTTAGAAATATGAAAATATGCAGTCTTATCTTGGTGGAACGTTTTTAAACGATAATACATTTATCTGTATAACGTTTTTTGTTACAGTTCTATCCGGTCATATAATTATTATTGATATATTATCTTCATTTTTCCTCTAATGGAAATTCTTCTGCATCCAAATAAGCAGTCTTATAATATTGTCCTTGATTAATTGTATCGAGATCTTGAGCTAATCTTTCTAACAGATTTTTAAACACGTAATTGTCTAAATTTTTTGCTATGTAATACAAAAATAACCAATCACCAAAATGATATTCCCTGGTAACCCTGACCACGTTCCAAGGATTATATTTTCCAGGACAAGCCATGGAAAAAAGTAATTTGTTGAAACCCTCGCTTCTGTATAGAAATACAAAAAAAAAAAAAATACAAATATAAAATACAAATATAATTAAATTGATAATATTTATACGTAAGAATTATAAAACAAATGATTACTGACCTAGAATGCAATATCATCGTTATCAATCTCCAGATAAGACCGAGCAATGTGAGAAAGGATAATATAATGAACCAATACCATAAAAATATATAAATCTTTTCGTTAATTATATTCAATGCCATAACGCACAGTGCATCGTGAGTTTGTATAGTACCTGTGGAACCATATTTGTGGAATGTACACTTCGTTACCTGTTAATCATTGAAACACATAATAAAGAAAGCATCTTACTAAACAAAAAAAAAAAATAAGATAAAGAAAGTATAGATGATTCATACCTTGGGAAAAACTACATCGAGTGGTTCCATTCTTCCACCGTAACTTGGGTCAGCAGCCGTTTTGCCAAGACCCAAAAAGGCCCCTCCGAGGAACCAATCGGTCAAATAAATTTGCGTTACAACGTTAACGAAATTTAATATCTCGCACAAACTTAAATAATAAGACCATGTTCGATTAATGTAAATACGTTGGATGAAGGAAGTTCGAATATGTTGAATTTTTTCATCAACATCATCTTTCGATGGTACAACATATTTATCGTTAACTTTTAAATTAGTTTCATGCAAACCCATGCAAGCCACGTGCAAACCCGAGACCAAAGATTTAAGACGACCACCTGAAAAAGAAAAATATTCAACGTGTTGTTATATTAACAATACGAAATATAATCCTTATAACGAATCTGTTTAATATGTTCATTTCGAGAAATCATAATTAATGGCATTATCTATCTCATCGAATCATTTTCTTTAGAAAGAGATTATAGGAAATATGATTAAAAGTGTGATATCAGATGAGTAATAGTTTACCATTAAATCTATTTATCTATATCTAACAATAAGGAGAATTGATTAATTAAATGTTTACTTTATTTCTCTTTCGTTATTATATTTTTCTTAAATTTATATATAATCGCAATATATCGTATTAAGAGAGTTAAAAACAATTATGATATCATAATTGTTTTAAAAGAGAAAATTCACGTACCTTCGATTTTGCGCCACAAATAATGTGGCATGTAAAATAAAAGTGCTTGAAAAAATAAAACGAATGGTACCCATTGATAATAAGCATGATGAACTATCTCATCATCTTTATTAACTGGCCCAACACCAGGATGTGGTATTTCACCGTTATTAACGTACGACGCGTTCATGTGTTTTACCTGCAAAGTAATTTTCATTTGATCGATAAGAAAACTCGCGTATAATAATAATTAATCGTATAACAAATTACAGGACTCTCGTTTTCATGGATATGAAAGGGATCCGTTTCCCCCCATTCCTTGCATAACTTAAATACAAACATTATATAGATGCTCACCACAGTGAAAGTAGACGTAAAGAAGCAATATGTTTCTATAACGTTTAATTTTATCGACGTATCTGCTATACACCTGTTCATACAATCAAATTTTAATTGAATTTGTCCATATTCCAATTTCACACATTTGAAAAATTATTATTATACCTTATGTGTTCACCAACGTATTGTCTAGCAGATACCAATAAACTACCAAGTAGTAATGCCAAAAATGTTACTCTGTAATGTAATCTGAAAACTGATGAAAAATAATCATTCAATATATATATATATATATTACCTCTGTTTATTGTAATATAATTTATATATCAAAATAAATATGTAATTGAATTCGCGTGTCAAAAGAAAACAATAACACGTGTCTGGTTATATATCGATAATGTTGACCTCTCGAACTATGTGACACTCGAGAGTTTATCAACCGATACTGATTTTGGAAGGAAAAAAAAAAAATAAAAATAAAATGAAACAAGAAACGTTTAAAATTTACCGATATTATCTATGGCTGCCGCATCCTCGGATGCTTTAATTTTCACGTGATCTTTTAACGCGGCAAACGTTGTTAAAAACGTGGTCGCCATTGTTTCGAAGCAACGTGGATACGAAAGAAATATTTAATACGAAGACAACGACACGTTCACTCTTAATCCTGTCTTCTTTTCTTCGAGAGAATACGATTATTCAGCAATCTTGCATTTCTTTATCCTCACTTCTTCTTATTTTTTTTTTTTCTTCTCTCCTCAAGTATCTTCTTCTATTTTCACAACCTCTTCTTCATAATCATCTTCCACTTCTTCTTCTTATTTATTTTCTTCTTCGTTAGTTAATACTAGGTATTTAGGATCGTGTAATATAAATGAAAGAATAATAATTATCATTCTCTATACGTGTCGCCAGATGAAACAAGACTAATAAGTTTCTACTCTATATCTTAGAAATATATCAATAGTGAGTTAAGGTATATTAATCGTGGTTCTTGATTCGGCCAACATTCAATCTCGTGAACTTACGTTATCAGCAAACACAACGAATGATTGCGCAGCAATCTTCTCAAATGTCTAATATGTAAGTCAAAAAATGTTCCTATTATCTTTCTGTGTGATTAAATGTGTGTAACACTTTATAGTGTAATCATGTGTGAGTGAATAAAGATAAGGAAGATAAAACTTACTGTGTTATATATATATGTAAAATATAAAAAATACAATGGAAAGAAAAAGAGGTGAAGTACTTTTAAGCCACAATGGATTACTATAACTACATTGTCATAGAATCTTTTTAACCGAGCTTTATTTTTTACTTTTTATTGTTGCTGCATAAGTATAATATATATTCGACATACGTTATGCATGTATCTACAATATCACGTTTGTAAATATACATATACATTTATATATATGTATTTATGTAATCATTGATCAGTGTGTATGCATATAATCAAATTAAACGTAAAGTGTTACGTAATTTTTTTTTTTTTTTGGGGAGGGGGAAAATTCTTTATTTAATCACACGAAATGAAATATTGAATTTCTTTTTTTGTTTTATATATATGTAAATTATTAATTAATTTTCTTCCATTGGAAAAAATCTAATCTTTCGATTGAATTATTTATCTATTCGCTTCGTCAATGAGCATGGAAAAATATTCCGATTGTAACTTTTTGTTCTTAATATCTCGATTGAGAGATTTCTTATCGTAAATTTCTTCTTCTTTTTTTTTTTTCATTACCTACTGCTTTTCTGCACTGATTTTCGAATTTTTTTCTCAACGAGATAATCTTAGAATTTTTTCTCGATCGTTGTTAATAAATGTGTACTGGCACAGATTTCTCTATCGAATAATTCCCAACGCGTTAATTGTTATACGTAAGATAACAATCTCTGTTATAAATGTTGATTAAGTTTGTGATAATAATATTACGAAACGTTTGTAATTTATACTAAGAACAGGTTTAACGTATAATGTTTCTCTTCTACGATTTGTAGAACTCGAATTTGATCTGTTTAATAGATAAACATAAATAACTATCATACCACAATCTAGTCAACACACGATACATTTCTAGAAATTTCTCATCGACGAATAAAATAATAATTGTCGTGGATTTAATGAACAAACCAAAAAAATGCCAAAAATTAAGAACGGTATAACATTATTCGAAACTCTATCCCGAGAATTTTTTAACACGTTTCAAATTTAATCTTCTTTGGAAAAAAAAAAAAAAAAGTAAAAATAATTGCACGTCATACATTTTTGTTTTATTTTATGATTTTTAATGACGCCCAATAAATTTCATGCCGGAAAACAAATAGAGATAAGAATTCTGTATCAACGTTTCCTATTTATTATCACGCATTTAACGATTACCAACAATGATTTGTAAAAATTGGTAAAAAAAAAAAAGAAAAAGAAGAAAGAAAAGAGAATTGAAGTAATTTCGAAATCATATCGATAAAATACCAAGGTGTTTGTCATCCCGATTACGGTGTAAGTATAATAATAATAATTCCCCGAACTGACATGAGTTTATACACTTACGTGCTAACTTGCACGCGTATTAATTAAAACCTCATACAAATATTGTATCTAAAAAACTATGAGAATATATAAATATATTTGAATAAAAAAATTCGATACATATCATACGATTAATATATTTTAAATAAAAATAATTATCTTTCTACTGTATATAACACGTTGGGGAGGGGGATAGGGATGAATTGATAATTAAATGTGTTGTTAATTACAACAATGAATTACATAAATAAATAAATAAAAATATATAAATGAATTGAACGATTAATTCCATTATCATAATTATTAAAATGAACCCCCAAGAAGTTCGTGCATTCATTACGTTTAAAACTTTACTTTGAAATTGCACAATGAATTGTTTCTTCTTTTTATTTTTTTTTTTTTTGTAAAATATTAATTGAAAAAACCGTACACGAACTTTTGGTTCATCCTAATGTTAATGCAAATACATATACACACATGTGTGTATAGTGCATATGTATTTGTGTTATAGATTTACTGTACGTAGTAGATTATGAGAATTTTATTTGGTGGGGAATGGCGAATAAGAGAAGAGAAACGTTGTTGGTTGGTTGGTTGGTTGTTAGTCCTGTAAAGTAAAGAAGAACCAGAGAAACGAAGAAGAAGAAGAAGAAGAAGAAGGCCATGAAGCGCGTGCAACTACGAAGGTGGAGGGACTTTGACCGGCCATTGCCCTCGTACCAGGCCAACCTGAGCCAACAGAACGAAAGAACGAACGAACGAACGAGTATTCCAAAGAAGAAGACCCTGTCCTCTCCCTTCTTCGTTCCTTTACGTGCACACCAAGCTTTGTAGTAGTTGTCGTCGTCGTTGTCGTCATCTTCGATACTTGAGTACCAACCAAGTGGTACCAACTTGTACCTTTACTTTTACAATCATCTTTCTCTTTATTTCTTTCCTTCTTTCTTTTTTTATATTTTACAAATACTCATTTACCATTTTTTAGTATGTATCCACTTACTTACTTAGTTAATTATTTACTTGCATACATAATACAATTGTATTATATACTCGTTGTCAATGAAAAGTAAGAAAACAAAATACTAATTCTTTGAACACACACACACACACACGTTATTTTAAATAATAATAAAAAAAATAGAAACGTTAGAACGACGAGTAAAAATCTAGATTTATTATGTCAAACGAAAATTAAAAAATTAGAAGTTTAAACGTATGTGTATGTATTCGTTATCTCTAACTTGTTCACATTATCTAGGATATATTTCTAATTGACACACGATATATACCTGAAAGAAAAATTTGTATATATATATACCGGTAGCACAGGTTTTATATTTACACGTGCTTGTTTAAAATAATAGAAAGAGACGTTTTAAATGAATAAGTCTTTTTCTTTTGGAATACTGTGTCGGCAACCTCGACCCTGGTGTCTACTACCTATTCGTGATTAGAATGTAATTAACTTTTTGAGATCATCAGATTGTTTATATACTATTTAACATTCCATGTTAGGCACACAAGTAAATATGTATATACATATATATAGAAACTTTGCATTAAGTTCGAAAAATAAAAAGATAGCTTTAAATGTTGTTTGTAGATTGCTATACAATACCGTTCATTATACGGTTAATCTTTTACCTAATCATACTACGACCTCGATCCGATTTCTCGATTATAAGTAGAATTTTTTTTTAAAACGTCCATTGTAGAAACACACATAGATATAGATCTAACTTAATGTTTCATCGTATCTAACAACCGTGTTTTTTATAGATCAAACAAACAAACAGATATTAAATATTTTAATAATATTAGATTGTAACATATATTCCTTCAATTTTCATAGAGTTTTTTCTTCAATTTTTATATTATTAAAACATTTCTAATCGATAATAAATTTCCTTAATAATTATACATATGTTAATAAATGATACGACACAATGTATATATTAATTAATTATCTTTACTGTCAAATATAATATTGTCAAGAGACAAATATAAATCTCTCCTCGTATATTATTAAAAATCTTCATAATAAAATAATAATTAATTATGCAATTGTGTGTATATTTTCAATACAAATTAATATCGACTATATTATCTTAAAAGGATTTTTGATAAAACAAAAAAAATCCTTACGAAATTCCTCGGGCAACCTAATATTATATATTACAACACGATCATAGTAATAACAATAATAATAATAATAATAATAATACTTTGAACAGAATATAACGCGGTTAGTTTCTTAATACGATCAAATTTAACGTCGTAGTAATCGACATTAATATGTTACTATAGCAGCAATGCAATAATTTTCCTCTTAGCATCGGCACCCTACTAATCCACCGACGTTACGGGGGAACCTGAAATTGTTCGGACCTCGAATATTGTCTGGACGTAAATGAAAGAGAGAGAGAGAGAGTGAGAAAGAAATAAAGAAAGAGAGAGAAAGAGAGATCGTTGTTATATTCCTGATCGTTAATCGCAAACCGGAGCACACGGACGTATTAAATTTACCCCACACCCCCCCAGCCCCTCCTGTGTTGTACATGCACCTACATGATCAACTCCGATGCACGTAATGAATCTCAGCTATGTGTAAGTAGGAATCACATGCAGGGTCACTCGTTTATACTCTTTAAAATTCAACCAAAGGTCATTCCTGCGTTTAATGTATGTATGTATGTGTGTGTGTTTGTGTATGTATGTATACTTCTTTTCTTCCCCTCTCTTTCTGTCTAACCGGTGATCGATAATACATCGAGATAAATATGACGTAGTCCCCAACATTCTCTCATCCTTTTATCTTCATTCCTTTTTTTTCTTTTTCCTTAACCACCATTCGACATTTTTAAGCAACCAACGAACGAACACTCGTAGAACCAGTACTCTATTCGAATTTTATCATACGAATCATTCGAATATAAATAACGTTGTTTTCATAATGATATAGATTGAAAATATGTAATGTACAAGCATTATTAGTGTGGTATATTTTAAAAAATTATATTGTAAATGGTATTAAACAAAAATTATGTTATTTTTTTGTAAGAAAAAAAAAATATAAATTTATAAATTAAATATTCGATTATATATATATATATATAAATCGAATGTTATACTTACTTCGACATTTTGTTTTTCACGTGGCTTATTAAAAATATTCACTTAGAAAAATATTAAAAATATTTGATATAATTATATTTGAATTTTATTTTATTATTTTAAATATGAAAGAAGTATTTTTAATTCGAATAAAATAAGACACGTTTTCTTTCTTCTTTTTTTTTTTTTTTTTTGTCTTTCAATGTCGAATCTTACAATACGTGGAACTAAATCGTTCAGGTTTTTTTTCTTTTTCTTAATTAGCATAATGCATCAGCATTCGTCGTCATTCGTGGTTAACCATACGATACTCTCTTAAACGTGCAAAATTCAACAAAGATCTCTAAGCTGGATTTTATTTCGCTGATATTTACTTTTTTTTTGATATTACACTAAACAAAAAAAGAAAAATCATTTTTTATTCGCGCATTTAAATAAACGAAAAGAAAAGGTAGACAACATTATTAATAAACTTGCGATATACTTCCTTCGATCTCAAATTCGCATAATCGGTGTTATAAAAAAAAAAAAGAAAAAAAAAAAAAGAAGGAAGAGGGAAAGCAGAGAAAATAAAATGAAATGAAATCGAATAAAAATAGAAGGAAATTAAAGAACACTAATGAGAGTAAAGTGTTCCTTCCATTTTAATTACTTACACGTTTAGAGATACAAATCTCTTCTATCGTCGGAGTGATTAGGTATTCTCTCACTTATTTTATTTTTTTTTTCTATTTTGTTCTAACATCTCTCTCTCTCTCTCTCTCTCTCTCTCTCTTTCTCTTTCTATCTTATTTATTATTATGCATATAAAATAATTATATTTCATTGAAACGTTTGACGTCGACGAAAAAGAATAGTTTAATAAAAAAAAAAGAATGCAATCGCACAAAAGCCAACAAAAAATATTAAAATAAAATAATAATCATAATATAACGATTAATGTTGACCATGAAAAAAAAAAAAAACAAAATTGATATGTTAAAGTTTAATGATCTTATTATTCATCGACGTTTCATGAAAAAATCTTATTATAAATTAAAACAATTTCGTTGTGTCTAATAATAATAATAATCTAATAGAAAATAAAAGAAAAATGTATACATATATATACATATATATATATATATATTTTAATCATTTCTAAACATGTGGCACGAGCAGAGGCACGAATACATATTAGCAATTATCGTAATACTTTTTATTCGAAGAAGCAACCAACCAACCAACCGATAGCGAACAATTACCACGATTATGGTTGGCATATTTTTTGTTGTTGCTGTCTGATTTATTCTTTTTCCATTTTTCTTTACCTGTTACAACCATTTTTATTTTACGTATGTGTGTGGGTGGTGTGTATCTTTATCGCCTTTTTTTTTCTTTTTTTTTTCTTCTTTTTCAACTATAATAATCACACATCTCTCTCTCTCTCTCTCTCTCTCTCTCTCTTTTTTTCTTTCTTTCATGCCTACACAAGTGAAATCATGACAAACATAACGCATACACGTGTTGGCACTTTTTTATCTTTTTTCATTTTTTTTTTTTAACGGAAAACGTGTCATAAATGTCGTAAGCAGAATTCGAAGGAGTTGATTGGCCAACAATGGCTTTTAGGTTTCTCCCAGGAATTTTATTTGTTCATGTTTTTTTTTTTCTTTTCTTCCATTTCATGTTATTCCTACTATTACTATTTTACTATATTTACTACTACAACTATTATTTATTTATTCTTTTTTTTTTTAATACTATCTTTATTATTATTATTATTATTATTATTATTATTATTATTATTATTATTATCATTATAATAATCAATAGAATTATGCAAAAAAAAAAATATCGCACCGCCAAATATATTTTTCCTTAAAAAAAAAAATAATGGCGCCGACGCATGCCTTTTTTTTTTTTTCTTATTCTCTCTTCGCACACTTCGAAACTCATACGATCTACACAAAAAAAAAAAAAAAGAAGAAAAGGAAAAAGGGAATGGGGGGGGGTAAAAAGAAATAAAGAAAAAAATAAATGGTTTAAGGGAAAGAAAGTGGGATAGGAAAATTAAAAAAAATGAGGGTTAGATAGGGGAAAAAAAAAATATGAGAATCATTATTACGGAGCGTTTTTTTCGTTAACTCTCTCGACAGTCTTAGAAGGGCGCATGAACACGATTAGAAAATGCATTTGAAATTGACACAATAGGGAATTATATATATATATCTATCTTCATACTTTTTTACTCGCAAATGTATTCTTCATTCTTTTTATTTCGTCAGATTTTATATATAATCCGTAGACAAATAATGATCCTTGCCGTGGGTTGTTCAAGGGTTACCACAAGTTGTTATCCTTGAAAATCGAATTAATCGAAAGAATTATCTAATTTTTGTGTCTTTTTCTTTTTTTTTTTTGTCACACTAATATATCAAATCGATCATTAATCAATAATATTTGAATACATCATACTACATAGTATAAAATGTCATCTTTAGATTGAATAATATGCATAGATTGTTAGATTATTATTATTAATATTATTATTATTATTATTTATCGAACTTATCAATTATTTTATATAATATTTTGTGTTCAGTCGACCGATATGTTTCATTTGTTTCATATATAAATATATATATATTTTTTTTTTCGAAAGATTTATAACAATATATTGTTATCAAAAATATTCTTTACTTTGTGTTTTCGTCGAAAAATAATACGCACTGAGGACACGTGTGTTTGATGAATTTGTATATAAATTTGTATAACTATATTATATCGTAGTATAATTAACGCACACACATATATTTGATTTTATTTAATTAATTAATTATTCATTTATTTATTTTCGGTAACCCCCATAAAACACGCAGGGACGGGTGGTTTATTATGTCGTCGTGATAGATAGTACAAAAAAAAAAAACTATAACATACAACAGACATAATATATATATGTTATACAAATAATATTCTCGACTGTCCTGTAAATAGTAGAGTTTTATATTATACATATGCAAATGTATATATTTATATATATATTAAAAAAAAAAAAAAAAAAGGAAAGAAGAACAGGAACGTTTTCATCTCATTTTGGCCCCTTAGTTTAAAACGTGGTTGACGTTCATAGATATACATGTATATTATTATGTCTTTTTGTGCGTGGAATGCAAGATTACATTTTTTTTTTCTTTTTTTTTTCTTATTTTTTTTTTTTTAATAGCAAAGACTGATATGAAAATAACATAAATGTAAAAAATATGTATAATCAGTATTCTCATAGTATATATCTACATGGGTCTCTCTCTCTCATTTTTCTTTTGCACTTTCTTCGTTTCTATTACTCCCTCTTTCGTAAATTATTTTTATCTAACTCTCTCTCTCTCTCTCTATCTATCTATCTCTATTTTTCTTACATATTTCATACACACACACACACATTCATACAGACACGTTCTTACTATCACCATATACTATATATTCGCATATATATATATATAAATGTATCTTTCCCATAAAAAATGGGAAGGAACTACAATATACAACACAATACGATATGATTATTATTTTATTTACTTGCTATATAAAAAAATAATTGATAGAGGACAAAAAGAAAAGAAAATAAAAGAAAAAAAGGAAAAAGAATGGAAAAATTTATGGGAGGACAACGTAAGGGGAAAAGAAAAAAAAAATAGCGGTCTCTCTCTCTCTCTATCTTTCTATAAAAGGTGTGTTTTGTATATGAACAAAGGTAATAAAATAACGCTTAAAAGGAAATAACTTTATATATGGATATGTTATTGATAGATTTGATCTATGATCATGCAATTAACGTTATTCGTTTATTTTATAATTTGGTCAAATATAATGATACTATTCGTTGAGAAATTTTATACAATAATGTAAGAAAAATAATTTCGTATAAACGTATATATCTCGAAGGGGGTAATAAAATAAAATTAAATAAAAATTTTTTGTGAAAAAACGAATGAACAGAGAAAATAGTCTACTACTTTTTCCACGACGCTTTACATGGGGGAAAAAAAAAAAAAAATATATCTTTTTCATGTTTTTCATCCCCACACCGTTTGTTCAAGTTGTCCTATACTATCTGTTGCGATAATACGCGGCAGTGAGATAATATAACTCTGGAGTCCTGCTGTGAGGAAAAAGGAACTAAAAGAAAAACGAAAAAAGGGCAAAGAAAAATAAAGGAAAGGGAAAGTAAAGTAAAGAAAAAAAAAAAAAAAACGGGAAAAGGGAAAAACGCCGTCCTCCGATTTATCACACTATTAGAGACCGGCGAAGGCCTATGAGTTCCAGAAATATCTAAAAATATATTATACATAACCTACGACAAACATTTAAGAAAATATTCTTGTGTTTCATCGGTCGATACTATTTTATCATCCTCTTCGTTTTCACGTTTAAAATTTTCATTTTTATAGACCCCATATATATATATTTAGATATATTTATCCTATGGTTTATACAAAATTTATATATCGAACAAATTAATAATGAGAAAATAAATCAAATAGATCTATTTCTTTTCTTCTTTTTTTCTTTTTTTTTTTTCGTATATATCTATGGGTGAAATATTAAAAACGAGAAACAATCGAAATAAAAAAAAAATCATTATTAAATGAAGAGGGGGTCTGATATATGTGATATATATATACTTTTCTTGTTTTTCTTAATTCTATATCATCCATTTGTTAATCGTTCCCATTCGTTTCAGATCACCTATGTAAATTCACCTGTAGGTTCCTTACATAAGTGATCAACGTGAAAGTGGTTATAGAAAATCGTCGAACGGCAATCGCAAGACTCAATATTATTTCTTTCTCAAGAAAAAAATGAAAAATGATAAATCATAATCGAACGTAAAGAAAGAGAAGCGCGAGGGGGCCCGGGGGGTTTTAGCTGAAGAAAAAAAAAAGCAAGATTAGAACAATAATCAATGCTACAACGATATTGATTAATAGTAGTGGTAGTTTTTTTTTTCTTTTTTATATTCTTTTCTTAAAGCGCTATCGATAAGCATGTGTGGCGTGTTAAATAGATAAATACGACTCGATCCTTTCATAAAACGAATATAATTCAAATAATTATTAATATTATTATTATTCTGAGATATCACGAGAGGATCAGCCGACGAAAAAAAAAACCAAAGAAAAGAATTCTTGCGATTGCAGTGTGGAGGACCCTCTTTCACGAAAAATAAATCCACGGATATTTTGTTTCTCATCATTCCTCGAATTTATTCTCCTTTCTTTTTGTTTTCTTTTCGTCAAAAATGACAATGACGATTTGATTTTTTTTTTGTTATTAACGAATGACTTTCATTATCGTCGGGAGAGGAGAAAGAGGAAGGGGGATGGGGGGTTATAGTTTTTGATACTGAACAAAAAATCGTTTCTACGATGATTTCAGAACAAAATATTGGATAAAACCGTAAATGATGAATTTTAACGAATGATAAATAGATTTAGACCGTTTCTTTACCCTGCAGCTTCAATGCCAGATCTGATACAAGCTGTTTGTAGACCAACGGGTCGATATTCTTACCCAATTGATAAAGGACGAACCAATCGCCTATTTGACATTTTTGTGCGATCATTTCGATATCATGTTTGTCTGACAAACGTGAACGGGCACGAAGCAACATAAGACGCAATTTAGGTCCAGCAATAACAGCAGCACGATAAGCCAAACTGAGACCGCTTAATACAGCCAGGATAATGAACCAGAACCATAGGAACACGTAGATCTTCTCGTTGACGATGTTCAATGGAAGTACGCAGAGTCCGTCGAACTTTTGTACAGTACCGGAAGCACCATATTTGTGGAAGGTACACTTGGTTACCTTTGGGAACACACGGGACATAGGATCATCCCGATCCTCCGGTTCTAATTCGGTGAATTTGACGACGTCCGAACCGTAAGTAGAAAATTCCCCATCCAAAAAGAAATCCATGAAGTATATTTGTCCAACTACGTTGATGAAATTTAATATTTCGCAGAAGAAAAATCTATATGCGTAAAAGTTTTGCGAATGTAAATTCAATGCCAAATAATCGACCAATAATTTTCGTCTCTCGCATTTGACTTCCTCGTTGGTAAGATGGCAATTAAGGTCAAGCATGAGCATCTTAATCCTACCGGCTTCCCAATTTTTCCAAAGATAACGTGGCACGTAAAATAATATCGCTTGGAAGAATAGGGTGAAACATACCCACTGATAATATTTGTGGTATTTAACTTCATCAACCCCTTCTACGTGATTACGTACACCAGCGTGTGCGACATCCTGACCAACTATACCACCACGATTCGGTACGGTAAAGGTTGAATAGATCCAGCAATAAGTGTCCATTACGTTGGGCGGTATTTCATCAACAATGCAGTCGATAGGGTCGCCGATATACTGTCTCGAGGTTACCAGCAAGGAAAATGCGATCAGTATGATCACGGTTGCTTTGTAATGCAATCGAAATACATTATTGTCGATGCACACGGAGTCTAACTTGAGTAGACCCTTAACAGAACCGAAAACATCAAACATGATGATTGCTGTTTTTCTTCAATACTATTATAATAGTCGATTAATTAGTATAGTAAATTTTTCTTCCTCAACTTCCTCTTCCGTAACAAGTATATTATATCCTTCTTCCTTTAAAATCACAATGATGACCAGAGAAGGGAATATTATATCCTTGAAACAACGCGTGTTGTTTGCCTCCGAGAAGGGGGGTTGAATTGAAAAGAAAAAAACCAAAAATAAAAATAGAAGAACTCTCTCAATTACAAAAAAACAACTTCCTTCTTCTTCTTCTTATTTTCTTTTTTGCGCGCGCTTTTTTATTTAGCGAAACGTGGTGCAACGACCACCTTGCAGCACCGCGTTGATTCTTTTTATAGGCGAAAACGTGAACGAGCACGTGCTTGTGGACTATTCGAAGTTAAGCGCGCGCGTCCTCCTCCTGTTGCGCTTAGAAATCGAATCACTACGCGCACGAGTGTTGTATTATACGACAATGACGACGACGACGACGACGACTATGCACTAGGACCGTCTGTAACGCACAGACCGTCACCGAGCAGCTCTCTCCTGTAATGGCCGCGTTCAGAAATGCCGTACGACATGAGGAGGACACACCGCGCGCGTTCTACCGGCTTTGCGTTCCCTTTTGCTTTTCTCTTTCTCCTTCCTGCGCGCCCTTTCCCTATCTCTTTTTCTTTCTCCTTCCTGCGCGCCCTTTCCCTATCTCTTTTTCTTTCTCCCCTCCCTCCCTTCCTTTCCTTTTTTTCTCTCTCTCTCTCTTTCGTTTCTTCTCCGACTCGTCTGGTAGAGTCGTCTCTTTCTTTCTTTTTTTTTCTCCCCCTCTCTTTCTCTCTCTCTCTCTCTCGTATATACTACTACTAGACTTTCTCTCCCTCTTTTACTCTAGAGAACTAACTCGTCGACTGCAGGGTACCCGTGTCGGGAGCCGAGAAACTGTTCGTTGCTTCTGCTTGCAAGGGGAGATTCCGTCCCCCCACTTTTATGACGCGACTATACCATCTCCCCCTTACGGAACGCGTCACTACTACCAATGACGTCCCACGATCTCTTTCTCTCTATCCTTTTCCAATGCGCACGCGTATAATATACTTAACCAATTTCTCTGGTTCTTCTTCTCTCTCTCTCTTTTTCATTATTCTACTCTTCTCTTATTGTGTTAGTCTTCTCTCTCTCTCTTTTATCTTTTTCTCTTTTTAACCTTTTAACGGTCAAACCCATGGGGGCACGCACTACGTACGTAAGGCTCCTCGGACGATTTCGGATGAAATCGAATGAAATCGTGACTCAGTTACCCCCTCCACCGAGTTTGTTTTGTTTAAGCATGCGCCGTAGTACGCGGCAACAACGGCGGCTGCAGTGGCGCTGTTACCATGGTAACCAATAGCTATGCGAATGCTGGATATTTGCTAGAACAAAATAAAAAAATGACAATTTTTAATAATATACAAATATTAATATTAGCCTAATTGATCGTTTAATTCGAAAGAGTATCATTTGTTAAATTATTAACGATTTTCAATTGAATTCATTGAATAATTTTGTCAAATATATATATGGATAACTAATTCAAAAATATTTCATTGTTTAGGTATCTATTTAGTAATGTTTTATTCAATGAATATATAATACTTCTTACCTATATGTAATTTACGAATAAATCGTGAATAATTTAGATCTCATTCCGATCGTAAATGTCGGATAATCGAGAAAATCTCGTTGGTACAATTTGTATTCCAACAAAGATGTTCCCGGAAATGAAATAACATGCAGGAGTGGCATTTAATGCTTAGCTTGCGGTAAAATACGATAAACACTTATGCATGTATGTATGTATATATCTATCGATGTTTTCCCACGGTCTTTCGATTCTTTCAATAAATCATTTTTATCGAGATATAATACAATGTCTCTTTTAAATATAAACATTAACTTTTGATATTTATCTAATGGACAAGTTAACGCCTTATTTAAAGAAGTTTTATTAATTGTAGGATTTAAGATCCGATTCTATTGTTAGAAATGAATGTGATTGTAATCCATTCCTATGAAATTATTATAGCATATGATGTAATTAATCGTAACTCGCGAATCGTCACGAGTACTAAGAATTTAAGAATAGAACTTCTTCACTGACAAGACGTTGGGATCGGATAACAAGAGATATAAAAGCACAATGACAATTATAGTTAGATAAAATGTTACTTTGATGAGAGAGCTTAAAATAATCTTTAAGAGATTAAATATGTGTTAGAGAGTTTAATATTATTTATTCTTACAATATTAGAGATCGTTTTATTTGAATACTAAAGAAAACTTAATAATAATGTTATATTCAAGATTGAATAAATTTTGGGGAGAAAATAACTCGTTGATTACTACTCACAGTTTTTTTTATCATTTTCCTATTACATAATTCATTTAATTTATAAAAATTCATCAGCTTATGTATATATATAATAGTATAAATAAAAACTACTTCCTAAGATTACTTGTGTTGAAGGGAGTAGACCCATATTATAGACTACACCTCCAAGGTCGGTCCTGTGGCGCAACGGATAACGCGTCTGACTACGGATCAGAAGATTCCAGGTTCGAATCCTGGCAGGATCGTTAATACTTTTTTTTAGTCTCAATTATATTATAAAAATAATTTATACATGATTATGTATTAACACACAAAATTTATAAATATATACTTGTATATTATCTTCTAATATGATTATTTTTCTTATTAAAAAATGTTATGTCTAAATTTATACGATGCTATCGTACAATTTTAATTATAGTATCGATAACTACACAGACAAAAATTTCTTTTCTATTTTAATATAAGGAGAAAAAATGTGAAAAGAGAAAAAGAAAAACTAATTGTGGAGCAATTGAACGTTATATCTAAGAAGCGGAAACACGTATTCGTTCTAATCAGTACGTATGAATACTACCTTCCTGCCTATCATGTATCATACTCATGTGTTTCTTCATCGACTTAATTCAGTATTTCGTCTAGGTATCATCAGAAGACATATTTCTTATAATAAATCATAAAATACGAGATCAATTATGAATTCATCTATTAATATTTGTCCACGTCCACGTGGTCTGCCTAAGGCATAAAACAATGTGAAAGAGAACCGCTGATGCCAGTCAACGTTTACTCACGTTTCTCACGGTCGAAGCATTCGAAATACATACATACATACAAACCCTGCATACCTCTAAACCCCTGTGTGCTTTCTCGATCCTCGGATCCTTTCTACGTTCAAATGAATGGGATAGTCACGACGTTGCTTTTTTAACGCCGACGAACTAGCAAGAAAGTCTTTCGGCTCTTTTACAACGTTTCAACGTTAAACGGAAAAAAGATAGAAGAAAATTGGATTGCCGGGGATTAAGTATATACTTTCACTGGTTAGTATGGGCTGAAAAGCAAGAAGCATCTCTATCGGGGCCTATATCGTCTTCTTTTGTCCGGAATAAATAAAAAAGGAAAAAAGGAAAAAAGAAAAAGAATAAAAAAAAATAAAAAAAAACGTACGCGATAGAATATAAAAGGATCTGCTTAACGTCATGGAAACTAATTGGAAGCGAGCGTAGTCGGATGGGTCAAATAAATTAACCCATCATGGTTGCTTCTTTGAAATGTAAGGAAGAGAAGGGCTAGTTGCAAAATGCGTGTAAAGCGAGAAGGACCATCAAGGAGAATACTGAAAACCGTTTATATACTGAAACGCACGAATTATTATTCTTCTTTTATCCTTTTATTTTTATTCTTTTAAAACGCGTACCGAGAATTTCTAAATTCACCTGTAGTTTCATATCTCAGTATAAGTATATACATTGAAAGATCATATATTTCAATAATACAAGTTCATTTAAATCTAATAAAACCGGGGTGGTATTATTATTAATCAACCGCAACGAGATTCTTACCGTTTGTCCAATTTAATGGAAAGAAAAAAAAAACAAAAAGAGAAGAAAAGAAAAGAAAAGAAAAGAGAAGAAACAAAAGGTCGACGATCCGCCCTCGAGCTTGGTTATTATTCATATTTGGACCCCCATATTCATAGTTAGACTTCTGAATAGACATTCCTTCGAATTGCCAAAGAATTTTTTAGCAGGATGGGGTTTCTCTTACCTGCGGTCTGCGGACAGGTATCGACAAGGCGCGATACTCGATACGTCAGATGCTTATACGTATATACAAACACGTGTTACTGTATATTACTTATATACAGGTATGTGTAAGTAGCAAGTATATACCTGCGACTCCTCGAAGTCAACTCTGAGATGTTGGAGGAGAGAACGAGAGAAAGGAGAGAAAGGGAGGGGCCGGTTTTTCTGGTTTTGGTGTGCCTCAACCTTGCAAACTTTGCTTGCTGCTTTGCCGAGGTTTACGTACGGGATGATACCTCCTGCGTTTTAAAGCGACGTTTTCGATCACTTATTGGTTACGAAAAAAATCTTATCCGTGTAAATTGAATCATCTTCTATTTCCTTCTTTCATCTGTATTTCTTTCTCTCTCTTTCTTTCTCTCTCTCTCTAGACATTAAATTGATTTCGGCAGTAATCGTTTTTCCAAAATTGCATTCCGCATTCCTTTCCTTTCGTAACTCGGAAATGTTTCATTCGATATCCGGTTAAACGTTTAATTATTGGCGGAACATTGAAATTGTTCTTAAATTACCGTTATCTTTCTACCTCTCTTTCTTCTGATGGCTACTACACGCAACCCACAACCTTCGACCTTGGGCTATTAAACGAAAAGAGTATCTCATTATCTTTGGATCATATTCTTATTCTTCATTCTCGTCAGATATTATAATATTTTATTACATAAATAAATAAATATATAACTGTAACATATAAAATATTGATTATTTCATTAACAATAAACTTGACAAATTTCAATTAGATTAAGCGTTTTCTTTTATCATTATTGTTTTATTTTTTTTTTACAAAGTGCAAAATATAGATTTCTTTTTTCTTGGTTTTTTTTTTCCAATAATTTTACATTAGTCCTTACGTTTACATCAAACGTGTTAAGTTCTCCATCGATAGTTTTTCTTTCTTATATTTTCCTTCAGTTTAGTTTTCCTTCATTAAGAAAATCGGACAACGAACATGAGCCGCCATCTACCACGAGATATTTAACATCCGATTTTACTGTAATATATTTTGCTTTTTTTTTTCACTGTGCAGTTTTCTGCATATTCAATAGATATTACGTAGTAAGTATGACAATGTATAAATCAAGTAAACTAATACTGATAATCTCACAAGTATTTTGAAATTATAATAGTAATTGTTGTGATCTCATTCCGTACAAGTAGTCGGGTAATAGCTAACGAGGAAAGAAAATGTCGACTGTAAGTAACATTTTATACGATCAATAATATTCATTATAATTCCATGAGAATGTATATCGTATTTACTTGTTTAAACAAAATATTAAATAATTTACATTAACAATTATATTTTTTACATATTTTCTTATTATTTGGCCAAGCATTTTTAACGATCGTTTGTTTGTTTTCTATCAGTTAGAAAAATTGTACTCACCAAGCGAATGGAGCAACAGATTTAAATCAGCAGAGATGATGTCTCGATATTTGATTTTTGCAGCAGATGGTACGACTACTTTATTTGATTAAGTTCTAATAAAAGACAAATGAGAAAAAAAGAAAATGTAAAACAACAATTTTGAAACAAGCTTAAACATATGATTGATTAGAACAAATTATTTTACAGCAACGAAAAAGGCACGAAACACTACGAAATGCATTTTAGATATTCCATATGGTCCAACAGAACGCACGAAATACGATATTTATGGAACCGATTTGCCTGATGGTATCAATGAATAATTAACAAAAAGAAATTATCTCTTTTGTTAAAAAACTTAATTATTGTATTTTGTTGTTGTTTTTTTTTTTTCTTAGACGCGCCAATGTTAATATTTATTCACGGTGGTTATTGGCAAGAATTTAGCAAAGATTTCGCAGGGTTTTCAGTACCAGTTCTCGTCGAAAATAAAATCAAAGTAGCAATCGTCGGTTTCGATTTGTGTCCCGACGGTAAAATCTATTTACTAATTTTTACTCTATTTTATATAATAATAATTTAAATAATATTAAAAAAAAAAAAAAACACAACCCGTCGAATTAATAATTCTTTCGTTGTTCAGTTAAATTGAAAGACATCGTTTCTCAAATCAAAATTGCGATAGAAAAGATCGTAAGTTCTGCCCTAAAATCCGGATGTCGGTACGTACAATTATAATTCTACTATATATTAATTCTTATTAATATAAAAAGATGTCACGTATGAAATATTTGTACAAATTTCTATTATCGCACGATATTATTGAACATAATACTACAGGTGTGTTTGGATTGCTGGTCATAGTTCCGGTGCACATTTGACAGCCGCTTTATTACACGATACAAAATGGATTAAATATATGACAGAGTTAGGATACTTTCAATTGATAAAAGGTTTGTTGCTTATTAGCGGAATTTATAATATAGAACCTGTTGTCAACACCTCATATAACGAAGCCTTAAAACTTACTGAGTAAGTACTGTATCATCTTTTGTTTTTCATCTTTTGCATACAATATTATTTAACAATATTTTTTATAGAGATGATATTGAAGAATTCAATTTGTCTACTCTTGATACCAAAGGATATACTCCTATTAAAAATTTTAAAGTAATTGCGACTGTAGGAGAATATGACTCTCCAATATTTATTAATGAAACACGCGAATATGCTCAAGTAAGTATTTCCATTGTATAACATTAATATTTAAATTTATCAAATTGAACACTTTCTATTTTATTTTATTTTGTTTTCTTGTTTTTTCTTTTTTTCAGAAAGCCATGTCTTTCGTGGATAACGTAGAATATATTTTATTACGCGACATTGATCATTTTAACATAGTAGAAAATTTATTAAATGCTGAATTTGTTTTAACACAGTTAATCTTGCAACATATGAATGCATAAAAATGGTATTACCTAAAATAAATAATTTAAAAAAAAAAAAGAATACATACACACATTCATACGTACGCGCGCATACATACTTTTAATACAAGTTTTATATAAATATTTAGCAATTAAATAGATTTAATTACTTTTAAATTTATTATTCAATTCATGATTGTATTGTTTCTACATATAAATACAGTTATTTTAATATTTAAATACACATATAAAATACTCAACACTAAAGCATATGTACTAATTATAAGTATTGTTAGATCATACATATTATCAAAGTAATCAAGGTATATTTGTTTTGTTTTAAGTCATTTTGGCTTATTTTCTGAATTCTTTTTAACAGGCACTCCTACTGAATTTTTATTATATACTTCCGTTGGTATAATAACATGCACAAAACTTTGTTTTTTTATTGTTTCGTTATTATTCTCTTTACTACGTATATTTTGTCGACCAGAAGAATGTGGTAAATGTACAATAGTATTACACGAACTCAAATCAACTACTTTTTTTACTATAGATATGGGTTTCAAATTAGAACTATTTACTTTACTTGGATTTAATTTTAAATAATTATTAGTAATATTTTTAACACTAATAAGACTTTTATTTGTCAAATTTGCGGGCATCAAGAAACCTTTGTATTTTTTAGTTATCGAAGGAAATATTGCCGTTTTAACTTTATAATTAGGTATACTTACTTTTGTCATAGCTACGTCATTAGTAAGATCAATTACTTCTTTCGATGATCCGTTTTCTGCATTTTGAATTTTCTGTTTGTTATCTTCCCAGGTTGTAGGATGTTTTGCAAATGAACGTACTCGTAATATAGGTTTGTTATCTGCCGTTGTTTTATTGTAGTCATCATCATCCAGTGGTATTATTTCATCATTTTTATCTATGAAATATAAACTTTGATTATATGAAAAATATAAAATTGGTTCTACATTAAAATATATTAGCCATAAATTTTACCTTCCATATCATTGTTATTTAATGTGAATGATTGTTGAATTACTGATATTTCTGATTCTGTCGCTGGACTAGTTTTTTCAATCACCTTTTCAAAAGACTCAAATACTTCTTTTACATTTGTTATTTCTGTATCTCTATTATCTTTATCTTTACATGTATTTGATAAATCTTTCTCTAATCTAGTCTCATTTTCCGGGGAATTACTTTTTATTTCATTTTCATTTGATTCACTGTTAATAATAATTTGTTTATTTTCAGTATCTTCTTTTTCATTGTCATTGTCATAATCATCTTTATTTTCATTTTCATCATCTTCTAAAGAGTTATCTATATTCTCATCCTTATCTTCATCGTCCTCTTCACTGTTTTCATCTTCATCTTTAGATTCTACATCACTGTTTTCATCTTCATCTTTAGATTCTATATCGCTGTCTTCGTTATCACCATTTTCTGTATTTGTTTTCTTTTCTGGCGAGTTCATTTCTTCTTGTTTTTTCACAAAATCTTGAAATATTTGAGTTAGCTTCTGTTGACCGACCTCCTGATTTTTACGTAATTTTTGAGCAAGTTCTAAGTCTTTTAATGCTGGATCATCTTGTTTATTTTCCAAAAATAAAGAAAATGTATCCCAGTAATCAATACGCCTAGCACGTTGTAAATGTTCTCCCAAATCAGTAAAAGCTTTTTTGGCTGTATAACAGATATTAGTTAACTATAAAGTTATTCTTTATTACATATTTAATTCTTTTGCTACGGCATGCAACTGAGATTGTTCTAAATACAACACTTAATGAAACAACAAATATGCATTTTTCAGTGCATCAATTCTTTACAATCGTATTTTTCTTTCAATGTAATTGCCAAATATTGTTCGTAAATGAATTTTAGATAAAGAAAACAAACTCTGGTTAAGTGTTTGTATTTTGAGAACCAGTTCCGCAGTAGATAAAAGGGTTAAATTATTGTTGTTGGAATATACTTACCGATTTGAGCTCGCTTTTTTGCAGTTAATCCTAAATTATTTCTTTCATTACAACTGGAAACACATTTCAATATGTCTCTGTAATCTGGAAATATTAAATCATCCGTAAATCTGCCACTCTTTTTTAATTTGTTTCTTTTAGTGATCTTTGCATTTATGAAATTGGTAATTGCATAATCGACGCTACTAATTTGAGTTGTATTTAAATGCTTGGGTCTTAAATATGAACGACCTGCATCTTGATTGTCACCCGTTATGCGACAATATTCATTATACAATTTGACCATTCTTTCTTTATATTTTTCGAGCTTAATAAAGTTGCTGTTATCTTCATCATCGAAGTTTACTTCAGACTCTTCTAATATTTTGATTCTTTTACTACACATATTCATTACTTTCTTTATTTTCTTCAATTTTCTTTTCATAACAGGATTCATGGTATCATCATTAAAACCTTCTTCATCTGTTTCTGCTTCTTTTATATTATTCAAATTAATTGAAGATGAAGATGCTTTAGAACTCGATGGTAGATCCTCACAAACATTAGTTTTATTCGTTTCAATTTGTAAAGCACTTTTTGAATTTTTGTTAGATTTCTTTTTCATCTCAACTTTGACATCCATAATATGTTGAAATATCATATTATCGGAAGACAAAATGGCGCTGCGCTTATTGTTCAAAAAATTTTGAAAAGCTTCAGATTTTGCATAAACAGGGTTCATTTGCTCATACCGTCTTTTAAGTTTATTAACTATTATTTCCATTGCGGGTTCTCGTCTTTTTTGTAAACACAAACTTAAAAAACTAGGAAATATATCTTGTTCTGGAAGGGAAATATTTTTCTTCTCCTTAATAATCAACTGCGGCTTTACTATTTTTTTACTTACAGGTACAGACGAATACTTTTGCGTTTCAACACCATTTTGTTTACAACTATCTTTCGCAATGACACTATTAGTTTCTTGACATGATACTGTCTTTATCCTTTTATCTGTACCATTATCCTTTTCATCAGAAGTCCCATCTATTTCTGATATTTTACGTTTTTTATTAACTATATCTTGTTTTTGATTATTACATTTAATTTTTTTGCTTGCATTTACAAAATTAAACTTATTAGCTTTATTGTTCCAAGGTTGAGGTTTTTGTTTATCGTTTATCTACAAGAATACATAAATAAATTCAAAAATAATGAAAAATATTAACCAATATGTGCATATAACAACTCCAATATTATTTCAACTTAAAATAGGATCAATAGTTTTTAAGTATTATAACTTATAGGAAAAATATATTATACTTGAATAATATTTAAAATAGGTATTAAAAATAAGAGATAAAGTTAGTGTATATTTAACAAACCATTTCATTTTCATCGCCAGATGAGATACAGATAACTTCACTTTTATCCATGACCATAACCTTGCTTTTGTTTTGAACTCTTCTGTTACTAGAATTCATGACAAATCATTCAAAGAACGAATGAGTTTTTATAGATAACACCAAGAATTAACAGCATTGATAATAAATTAATTTCTATTAGCACTAATTTTGATTTAAAAAAAAAATATAACTGTACATCACGTAAAACATAAAACCATTTAATTACAATATACTTCATATAATTAAAAATCTTAATTAATTGTTATTATTTTTGTTCCCATTCCTTCGTTTGATGTCCCAAATAATTGGATAAATTCAAAATACAATTTAACGCATAAGCACGAAGAATACAGTTTCATAAAAGATAATTTAGGAACGCGCTGTAGGAAAGTATCAACTGTTACCACAATAGTAAATTTAAATCGCGAATAGGATTAATGTGAAGGAATGGAAATGACATTTTCTAATATTAAATAATATAAATAAACCAAATAATAAATACATTATGTAGAATAATATCTATAAAAATACATTTTGTATAATTTCAATATAAAAGATTTCATTATTGATAAAATCATATTTTCTTAAGAATTTTCTTCGAATACATATAAACAGACCTTAACATTATTTTACGATTATTTCCATAAAGTGGTATCACTTGTTACAAAATTGCATTTAAACTTCAACAGACAACATTTAGTTGAATTGATTTGTTTTTCTTATATTTTTTCTTAATATTTTATTTCAAGATAGCTACGATGGATACAATTATGTTAGAAATGTATGATGTTCTATTCAAATTACGTTATCCTGAAATTACCAAAGCGAAGCCAGATAATATAGGCTCTACTATATTATCTGGTGAAAATAGAATTCATTTATTATCGTGGTTACTAACAGAAAAATTACCTACTTTATCAATCGAATTAGGAAAACTTCAAGGTCCTGTTTTAGAAGGTACACTATATTAGATGTAACAATTAATATAGTGCATTTTTAACAAATTTAGTAGTTTTATAGTAATCATACACATGTGTTATTTTTCGAAATAATCTCCACTATTTTTGATAACTTTAATCCCATCTTTCATGTCATCTGGCGAATTTCTTAACAAAAAAAAAGAAGATGGCAAAAAAGAATCAATTTTGACACCTAATATATTCTATTTAAATAATATAAATCGAACATTAATTTCTACTACTTTAACATGAAAATGGTTTCAGATTAATACATGTACTTATTTCTTTTCAGATAAACTCGCCAAGTACTATTCTCAACTTGGAATTTGTGTTGACAAAGATATATTATTGGTAAATGATAATTATAATAAATAATAGATGAATTTGAATAATAATAATAATAATAATAGAATACTATTAATTTAAAATATCTTCTTTTACTTTTAAGGGTAATTGTACATTAGAGAAACAATTTTCTACTTTAGCAAGATTATTAAAATTTATTAAAAAAATTCATGCAGATTCAAATGATGTTTCCACCAACAAGGAAGAACAAACAGTTGCTAATTTATTAAAAGTACATAAACAAATTCTTATGTATCAATTTACCAATTTTATAATCAACATTTAATTGAATTTTTTTAAATCTGCAGATGCACTTTGCTGAAGATACCGATAATCTGAACAATGCATCTCTAAAAATGAGTTATTCGGAAGCTGTTAAATATTTTGAAGAGTTACGAATATTAGACGAACCTAATGAGTTTGATAAAACCTCTATAGGAGAAGAGTTATCCGAATTTAATGTACGTATTAAGATTTGTTCGTTTTAAATATTGGATCTATATATAGTTATATTCATAACAGGAAAATGGTGAAGAAGCGAATAATACCGAAGAACAAAAGAATTTTATTTTACGAATGGAAAAATTGACAGATACCTATAATTCCATTTCTTCTTGTTTTGTATCGGCTGAGAAAGATGAAAATCCAGCAGTAAATTGTATGGATGAATATTTTAAAACTATGCAATCTGATTTTGAAATATTTAAACAGGTAATATAATTATTCTTTTGGATTTTAATGATCTTTGTAAATAAATAATACTAATAATTGTTTCCTATATAGATACTACATTTTAAAAATGAGATACCTACACTTGCATTACCAAAGACGCCAGAAAAAATCAATCTCAATAAACAATCGTTTAATTCTATTATAGAGGACATTATGATATCAACAGATGATATTAAATATATGTGTTAATATTTGTATGCAATATTATTTCCACATAATTCAAAACGAAAAATATTAAAAAGCGATTAATATATTAACGATGCTAGTAAGAAATCGGTTCATTTGCTGTTTGTATCTATGTGAATTAAAAATATTTAATATTAAAAATTTTGTAAATGTTTTATAGTTTTAAAATGATACATAATCTAGGATTTACGATCTTGGACGTTCCTTTTTCTCTTTGTAAAGAGCAAGCAAGGAAACGTTTGCAACTTTTACAACTTTGAAACGTACTCCGGGAATATCACCAACGGCATGTCCTTTACGTCCGAATCCAGCAACTAAAACTTCGTCGTTTTCTTCGATATTATTAAGACAACCGTCTCTAGGTACGAATGCAGTAATTTTTTTGCCATTTTTGATGAGCTGTACTCTTACACATTTTCGAATGGCACTGTTAGGCTGTTTAGCTTCTACCCCACTAAAAAGTATAAATACTTTAATGTTACTTATAATCAATAAATTAATACACTTTAAAACAAAATACATACACTTTTTCCAAGACAATTCCTTTTGCATGAGAGGCACCTCCAAAAGGATTAGCCTTCCACCTTGTTCCTAAATGAGCTTTTTTGTAGTCCTTATCGTTCCAACGTTGGTCACGTCTATGAATCACATGCTTGCGTGCAGTACGAACACCTCGAGGTTTACCTGTAAACGTTCGAGGTTAGAATCTCAATTTTTTTTTACTACTGCATAAATTAAATATAACATTTTCAATTTTGACTAATTCTCAAGAATTGATTTAAGGATATTTATCGCAATATCATCAAATTTCATTCGGATAACTAATGAAACACTTGATAAAACTTTTTTTTGAGGTTATACACCCTTTTCCTAATTCACATATATATATAAATAAATATATTAATGATACATGTGAATTAAATTATATTATCATTAATAGATTATGATTGTTATTTTATATTTTTAATTAAAACACACAAATTGCAAATATATAATGTTTTAAAATAATTGAATTCTTACCCATCTTGACTACTGCACTAAACAAGCGAAAAAGATCGACTGTCTAGTTGAACGGAAACATGCAGTTTTCTTTCGTTTTGATTGGTAGAACATTATAAGGTATTCGACCAATCATAACGCAGATATAATAAATGTTCATTTTTATACGATACAGTCATAGAAAAATAATACATGCATACTAATAATACCATTAATAAGTATATACTAATTTTTTAGGAATGTATATTTTGAATAAATGTAGGTAGATTATACTGCAGGTTAATTTTTTACTTACTAATAGTAAACGTTGTATATAAATTAACTCTGAATGAACTACAATAGTATAATATAATATTCAAATTAATAAACATTCATTCAAAATGATTCTATTTCTAATTACGAAGCAGAAGTCAATAATATTTTCTCTTTTCATTGTTTTGCAATATTAACCATGTTATAATAAAAAAAATCTATTAAGAATTGTTAACACAGGTGATTAATTAATAAATGCACCTCTAGAAATAACATACATAAACTAACTGTAATTGAAGCGACTATGTAATTTAAATTGTTTTCTTGACAGATAAACAGAAGAAAAAAATTATGAATAAACTAAAGATAAAGGTAATTACAAAATTTGTGAATCTTGTAGGTTTGTACAAATTAAATTAATACCATTTAATATTGAAAATTACATAGTTTTTAAAAAAGAGATGATCCAACATTTACGATCTTGGACGTTCCTTTTTCTCTTTGTAAAGAGCAAGCAAGGAAACGTTTGCAACTTTTACAACTTTGAAACGTACTCCAGGAATATCACCAACGGCATGTCCCTTACGTCCGAATCCAGCAACTAAAACTTCGTCGTTTTCTTCGATATTATTAAGACAACCGTCTCTAGGTACGAATGCAGTAATTTTTTTGCCATT